GTCGTCTGTTCACGAATTGCACCAATCCAGGGCCGCTTGCCTGGTCTGTCAGCGCACTGCCATTCCATTTCCGCGCTACGTACCACTCAACTACATCAAGCATTACATCCACCGGAATGCGATTGCTGCTGCTCTATCTTGCATGAGGGGGTCTTCCAGTTTCCTGAAGACTTGCTGTGCACCTGCAACACCCTAGAAATGTCCCCCTTGGTCAGCAGTTCGAGCATTGCTGCGCTACCACCAGGTAACGCTTTCTGACGCTGAAACTGCACAGCCGCCACACGAGACAGCGATTTGCGATAACTCAACAGCCTGTGGTGCACCAGCCTCCTTTTGCCCATGAATGCAGACGTCAGTTTGAACTCCAGGAACATGGGAGATATGATCAGGTCCCCATGCCCATTCACCACCACCCTCTTGCCAGTGCGTTTGTACAATACCCAAAACTTTGCCATCCTTGGGATGGGATCCAGACCATTGATGATGTGCCATGTGTCAGGAACCAGCTTGTCGTGCTCTGTCGCAAATGCTTCATTACCCACCCGAGGACAACCGAATGTGTAGCATGACACTTGATGGGGGCCCACATTGCAACATCTGGCGATGTCATGGGCAGCCAAGACTGCGATTGCACCACCAAGGGAATGCCCACAGACCAATAATCGGAGGTTCTGCCTTTCAAAGCTGTCGGTGTCAATTATCCTCTTCACCTTGTCAAGTACATCTTGGCCAAACCCCTCCCAGTGCCACGACTGCAAGAAACCCCTATGAACCAGAGGACGAGTGCCCAGCCAGAACAGGCCACGTTGAGGCGGGTGGGCGGTCCTCCAGACTTTAATATCCGCCCACACATTTGCTGCACTATAAGTGCCCCGAAAGCACAACAAAATCGTGCCTGCTGCACTCCAGGCGATCATGCCATGGACATCCATCTCCTTGGCTGTCACATACTCGAAATGTTCGAAGGAGTACTGGGAAAGTCCTGTCTGAATGTCCCGAGAAAATCGTCCCTGCTGGTTGTGGGGGTCATACTCATATATGTACTCACACCAGTACAGGAGCTTCACTGCTGTCTCAAAGCAAAACACAGGGTGGCTTTCTGTGGCACTCTCAAAGTCGTCCTCTGACTTCACCTTGGCGCCCTTCTCCATCCAGAGAGGCGCAACAGGAAGAGCCCTCAAAGGCCTCTGGCACCCAGGCTTGACAGGAAGCACCAGGATGGTGTTCACCACCATGAGCAAGGCAAGGGCCAGCTGCATGGGCATGTAGCCCCCAACCGCAAGCACGTACGAGAGGCACGAATCCATCCGAACCAGTCCCAGAAGGGCGGTCGACAGCACTCCAAACAGGAGGATGATCCCCACCATCCGGAATGTCAACCTCAGGGATATGTTCTCCCACCTGCAGCACGCCAGCAAAGCTTTTTTCTGTGAACAAACTTGAAAGCAAGTCTCACGATGGGCACTCGCTTTACAAGCAAGAAGGGAACACCAGATTCGAAAGAGTAATGATGTAAAGTCGCAGGTGCATGAACGACACACCACTGTGTTCAGCACTGCTGCGCAAGAAGACCAGCAACCCATTCCCTGCCCAATGTCTGTTCACACTCACAGGCTTGCTAACAGTTCATGCTACCTCAGCTAAACTGGTTCAAATGACTGGGTTTTGGAAGAAAAGCAAGGCAAAACAAAGACTTCTCATCAGCGGTCGCCGCGCGTCGCCCGTTCGCCGCCCGGCGATCGACGACAAGCGCATCAACTCACCTGTATCGGACATAGCTCCGTTCTGCAAAGAGGACGAAGGCCCTCCTCATGAAGTACAGGAACATGGACAGATAGCCGAGGGACAGGGCGATCATGATGTTGATCGATAAGCCGATGTCCTGCGGAAGTGGGCAGAGGACGGCAGCAGAGGCGCACACCATGGGCGTCTGTGTAGAGATGGTTAGGCAATGCAGCACGAACGCCTGGTACAGCCCCCAGTACACGAATATGAACCAGTGCGCCCTCCAGGGGGCGTCCAGCCACATGGCACCTTCGCAGCCAGCAATAAACTCCCCCTTGGCGTCCACCATCAAGTTCAGCCCCCTGGCGTGGACCACGAACAGCGCCAGGAGGGTGTTCCAAGCCGTCCACCTTGCACTGCTGGAGTAGCTGTTCAGTGGGTGCACGAAGCCGCAGTCGCGCGCCGCGGCGTGGAGGCTGGGCAGGAGGAAGAAGACACTGCCCACACAAACGCAGCCTAACTGCGCCAGGAAGATGACCGTCCACCACCAGCGCCTGGGAGACCAGGTCAGGCCTGCGCGCCTGACATCCACCAGGCGACGTGCGAACACGGCCAGGCAGGCAGTGACGATCGCCGTGTCGAATGCGGCGATCGACGCGCCCAGGACGAGCGCGGGCCGGGTCTCGTTCGAGTGGTCAAACCTGGACGACAGTATCATGGCGAACAAGACCGACAGGAGCGCGGTGCCGACCAGCACCGCGGAATACACCACCCGGAAGAGGCGCTTCATCTCGCCATCCGACAGGACCTCCATCTGCGGTATTGCTTCCCGGGCGGGGCGGGGAGCACTCGGGGTGGAGAGGTCGCCGACGCCTGCAGTGGTCGCTTGCCCGCCATGTTCGGGGGGGACCCCCTGGTCGATGTGCGGCACGAAGGGTTCGGTCCCCGCAGGCAGGCCCTCCCCGGCCATCGAACGTGGCCCGACGAAGGCAGGTTGCCCAGGCCTTCCCAAGGCGGGCCCAGAGATGGGGGGGGGGCTTAGCTCAGCCAAGATAGGTTCCCAGATTTCCCCAGGAACATGTCAGAGTAGCAGCAGTGGATAGTACTTCACCGTACAGTAATCTTCTCCGAATGCCCATCGCGCGACGTTCTTAGAAAACATCTTTGCTCTTGTCAAGCGGGGGGAAGAGGAGGACGCTGCCGATCAACACCGGGGAATGCACCACGTGGAAGAGGCGCCTCGTCTCGTCGTCGGACAGTACTCCCACCAGTGGCACGGCTTCCTCTGTGGGACAGCCGCTCTCCTGGAGATCGGCAATTTCGATCGGGGTGATGCCAGTTCGACATCACCACGTTCTTGCTCGGGCTGCTGCCTCGGCAGCGTGGGATGGCGGCGGGGGAAGATTGTTTGAGCCGGCTGACCAGCTACCTGCCGGCATCCACATGGAATCGCCATTATCGCCGGCCACCAAACCCAGAGACAGGCTCGATGGGAACCCATTTTCAACCCTTTTGGAATTCCTTTTGGCAATGCGCCTACAAATAATGACTGAGCCCAGAACCATTTATGTAGTCTGTCGACACAACATATATTCCATTTCCGTGCTACGTACCACTCAACTACATCAAGCATTACATCCACCGGAATGCGATTGCTGCTGCTCTATCTTGCATGAGGGGGTCTTCCAGTTTCCTGAAGACTTGCTCTGCACCTGCAACACCCTAGATATGTCTCCCTTGGTCAGCAGTTCGAGCATTGCTGCGCTCCCACCAGGTAACGCTTTCTGACGCTGAAACTGCACAGCCGCCACACGAGACAGCGATCTGCGATAACTCAACAGCCTGTGGTGCACCAGCCTCCTTTTACCCATGAATGCAGACGTCAGTTTGAACTCCAGGAACATGGGAGATATGATCAGGTCCCCATGCCCATTCACCACCACCCTCTTGCCAGTGCGTTTGTACAATACCCAAAACTTTGCCATCCTTGGGATGGGATCCAGACCATTGATGACGTGCCATGTGTCAGGAACCAGCTTGTTGTGCTCTATGGCAAATGCTTCATTACCCACCCGTGGACAACCGAATGTGTAGCATGACACTTGGTGTGGGCCCACATCGCAAAATCTGGCTATGTCATGGGCAGCCAAGACTGCGATTGCACCACCAAGGGAATGCCCACAGACCAATATTCGAAGGTTCTGCCTTTCAAAGCTGTCAGTCTCAATTATCCCCTTCACCTTGTCAAGCACATCTTGGTCAAAGCCCTCCCAGTGCCACGACTGCAAGAAACCCCTGTGAACTAAAGGATGAGTGCCCAGCCAGAACAGGCCACGTTGAGGCGGGTGGGTGGTCCTCCAGGCTTTGATGTCCGCCCACACATTTGTTACACTATATGTGCCACGGAAGCACAACAAAATCGTGCCTGCTGCACTCCAGGCGATCATGCCATGCACATCCATCTCCCTGGCTGTCAGATACTCAAAATGTTTGAAGGAATACAAGGAAAGTCCTGTTTCAAGGTCCCAAGGAAATGTCCCCTGCTGGTTGCGGGGGTCATACTCATATATGTACTCACACCAGTACAGGAGCTTCACTGCTGTCTCAAAGCAAAACACAGGCTGGCTTTCTGCGCCACTCTCAAAGTCGTCCTCTGATTTCTCCTTGGCGCCCTTCTCCATCCAGAGAGGCGCAACGGGTAGAGCCCTCAAGGGCCTCTGGCACCCAGGCTGGACAGGAAGCACCAAGATGGTGTTCACCACCATGAGCAAGGCAAGGGCCAGCTGCATGGGCATGTAGCCCCCAACCGCAAGCACGTACGAGAGGCACGAATCAATCTGAACCAGTCCCAGCAGGGCGGTCGACAGCACTCCAAACAGTAGGATGATCCCCACCATCCGAAATGTCAACCTCAGGGATATGTTCTCCCACCTGCAGCACACCAGCAAAGCTTTTTTCTGCAAACAAACTTGACAGCAAGTCACAAGGTGGGCACTCCCCTTCTGAGCCAGAACAGAGCACCAGCGATTTATTACTGCAGGTGCAAGAATGGCATATCATTGTGGTCGTTCAGCAGTACTGCATAAAATGACAAGCAACACATTCCCTGCCCAGTCTCTGTTCACACCCCCAGGCATGCTGCCAGTTCATGCAACCTGTACCCCAGAGCAAACTTCGAAAACGACTGCGTTTGAAACGAAAGCAGGACAAATGAAAGTTCGAAAAGCCCATCGCGTTCGCCACCCGGCGATCGACGACAAAGCGCATCAATTTACCTGTAACGCACATAGCTCCGTTCTGCAAAGAGGACGAAGGCCCTCCTCATGAAGTACAGGAACATGGACAGGTAGCCAATGGACAGGGTGACCATGAGGTTGATCGACAGGGCGATGTCCTGCGGAACGGGGCAGAGGCTGGCAGCAGAGGCGCACATCACGGGCGTCCGCATGGAGATGGTGCCGACCAGAACCGCGGAATACACCACCCGGAAGAGACGCTTCATCTCGCCGTCCGACAGGACCTCCATCTGCGGTATGGCCGCCTCCGCGGGGCGGGAAACGCTCCAGGGGGGTTCACCGCCCGCCTCGGTCGCTGGCCTGCCGTGCGCATTGGGGATTTCGTGGTCGATGTGTGCGTCACGGGGAGGGGGGCCCGCGGACGGCCCCGCAGGCACGCCCTCCCCGGCCATGGCTCGACAAAGGCAGGTCCGCCACGGGGCCCAGTCTCTGGGTGTGCTTCATTATGTACAAGCTCGGTTCCGTGACCGTAATTTCCTCGCAACATACACAGTGAGGGTCCCTATATAGCGCCCCCATGACCAAATGACCGCCATGACGCCATGACATGGCCAAAAAGGGGCCTGTTGCACTGACGAAGGCAGGCAGGGTCGAGGGGAGGCGATCCCTGAATGGGAATTGTACGCTCGAGTCCACGGCAACGGTTTACAGCCGAGGCAAAAGGACAACAAGCGTTCTGTCCTTTATACTCCGTCCGTTCATCAACATCCTTAATGCAATTCCTAATGCTTCATCATCTTTTCATGCACTCAGTTGTTAATGACACTCAATCAGTTCTACCAGTAACAGCACCATTCTCGAAAATGGGGAGAAAACGAGAACGATGATCGAAGATGAGATGCAGATGGAAATACTTGAAACGGCACTGCCACATCGACAGGAGATGACGGTCATTTAACGCATTTGCAGCAGTAGTACTCTGCGTGCTCGACCACACAGTCAGCGTAAAAGGTTTCACAGTAGTCCCATGTAGTAGGCTGAGCTCGAGATCTAGAAACAGGCAGCAGTACACCTCCCACCGTGCCCAAGATACAACCGCATCACATTCCAAGGCATCCTGAAGGCAACCTAACTCACAACGCAACAACAGGTCAGGAGGACTTGGACCTTAGTTGTGCAGGGAAAATGCTGATCCTCTGTCTTTCTGCCTGCCGGCTGTCCCTCAAAGTGTTGACAGTGACGCCAGGGGGCAGCACAACAGCTGGGTCTCTCCCTTCGTCCCCCTGATGAATGTGTCGGCCGCCCAACTTCCATGGATGAATGTGTGGATGCCCATATGCACGTTGGCCATTGTTTGTCGTGAACATTTCCTTGAAAATTGTCTGAGGTGAAGTTGTTTTCTTTACATTTGCACGTTGACATTTTGCTCTCTCGTTCTCAATTCCGAAATATTAGATTGAATTTACAGAGCCAGTGCCACCCCATTATGACAAAGGCGTGTGGCCCTTGTACATGGAAGCAAGAACGTGGAAATCAACTTTTTTTTGGGGGGGGTCATAATGCCAACAACGTTTTCAACACATGTCGTGGGGGATGAATGTATTACACTGTTTCACTTGTCATCTTGAGCAAATGCACCAGTATGTGCCTTTTCGGTTACACCAAAAAATGCACACATTGGTGCATTTGCTCAAGACAAAAGAAACAATATTGCAGGGTCTCTGTATTACATGTTCTCTGTGGGTGGGCTTGGTCCGTATCGGGAACAGCTCTGGAACAGTATCGGTAATGGCGTCCTGTTAGATGCGGCCGGCGGAGCCCGGCCTGCCGTATCTCTGCATCTAGCGATACGGTCTTGCCGGGCCGGTGGCCTGTGCTCCTGTCGCCGGCAACTGAGGCAAGTCTTTGTGCCCCAGCCGCCCAACCAAGAGTGGTCTGTCAACCCGGCCCGCACGGCGACAGCGCATTCACGGCGATGCGCTCCGCCAGTCGCGTTATCGATTTGACTTTGATGGGATTGGCGTTCCCCCATCGGGAGTTGGCGTCCCAGACACACACGAAGGCGCAGCATGGGACGGCGATCGTGGCCCAAGTCAGCCCTTTGTGAGCAAAGCGTGGAGACCAACGCTGTTGAGCTCTGGTGCCACAAAATGGGCTCAACGTCGAAGGTCTGGGAGAGATCGCGATCTTTTCCCTGCCCATCGGCAGGGAAGGTGTTTGGACATGCGCCAGCTTCGATGTTACAGAAACATGCAACGTGAAAGAAACTGTGCCCCACGGGGAAAGATCTGCACGCGAGCAGCGTGGCAAGCTCACAGAGGGTCCTACGTGCCCAGCTGCACGCTTTCTGTGAGCTGGGTGGCTTAGAGGTGATGGCTCAAGCCTTTGCCCTGGTGAGGCGGGCCGCCAGTCACTGCTGGCATGGAAAGCCGCGTAGTTGACAAGGAAACAGCGAAGCTTTGTGGACAGCCAGGCCGGTCTCTTGGGCGCCTATTCCGCTTGTGGTCTCCTATTCTGCACGCAAGCTCCAAAGCTTTGCGGCGGACGGGTTGTGTGGGAGTGATTGGCGCGTGTTTCTGTCGATCGGCAAAGATCCCTGTCAAGACCTTACAAAGCAATCCTGGAAGGTATGCGGAATGCGCGTGGCCTGGCTGGCGAGGGTCGATAGCTCGCCTTTTATGACGTCGGGCCCCCTGTTGTTGTCATGGACGCCGTGTCCTCGGTCTTAGAGGCCAAGGTAGGCCGCCATCGCCGCCCAGTGCTGCATCGTGCAAGGACGTTGAAGACGCAATCTTGCGCGGATGGTTCCGGCGATGTGCGATAGTCAAGGAGCCTGTGTTTGCTCGTTGCTGTGACGGCGACTGCGCTGCGCGGGTTGGCGGAGCGCCTGGCCTCAGCGACTCAGGTGCAGGCAGCACAGGCGGTTGGTATCGCTGGATGCAGAGATACGGCAGGCTGCGCTCCGCAGGCCGCATTGAACGGGACTCCTCGGAATGTGGTTTACGTGTGACGCTTGCCAATCAAAACCCTCGGCGAGCGAGTCATTGCACCATGGCGACCTTGAAACGAGCGTCGAGGCGACGGAAGCGCGAGGCTGCGAGCGCGGGGAATGGAAATTCCCGGTGGTTCCGCCAGGTCCAGAGATGGCCACGCGCGCAGCACGATGGACGGGTCCAATGCCGCCAGTCAGTGCGATGCGGGCGGGGAAGCAATCCCCCTGATTGAGATCATGTCCGACAAACACATGAAGCTGCTGTTCTGCGTGCTGTACACGGTGCTGGCGGCGATAGCCGTCCTGTTCTTCACCCTGATGGGGATGAAGGTGTCCGCGAGGTTCGACAGCGTGGAGGACGCCAAGGCGGTGGCGATCGTTGGCTGGGTGTTGGCGTCGTTCAGCGCGCTGCTGCTGACGGGCTGCCTGGCCGTGTTCCTGTGGCGCCTGTGGGCCGCCAGGAGGGTGGGCCTGCGGTGGGCCCCAAGGAGGTGGCGGTGGACTGTCATCTTCATGATCCAGTGCCTGTCCATCTACGCCAGCAACTGGTTCATCGTCATCCCCAACATAGGCGAGGTGTGGGACGTGCGCTTCACGGACAAAGTCATTCTGTACCCTTCCTTCGGCAGCGCGACGGCGGACAACACGTTCCTCGCCATGGCTGTTATCCACGCTCGATCTTTCAATTTGATGGAGGACAGGCGTGGGAATCTGCTGGGCCCCCGAGCCGATTCCTTGTGGCTTGACGCTCCGTGGCGGAGGCACTGGTTCATTGGGCTGTACTGGTGTCTTACCCAGAGCGCCATGGGTTGGTTTGTGACGTTGCTGCAAGACGATGGCTTGCTGGAAAGGAGTGTACACTCGTGCAAGCCGCCGGCGGAGTTCCTGCCGCCTATCTCCCTCATGCTTATCCTTCAGGCTGGCTATGCCTTGATGTTTCTTTACTTCATGAGAAGGGCATTCGCACTATTCTCAAAGCGGAGCTATATCCAGTTCAGATGGGAAAACATTTTCTTAAGGTTCACTTTCAGGATGGTGGGGGTTGTTCTGCTTTTTGCGGTGGTTTTGAATTCACTCCTGTGGTTCACGAGAGTGGAGTCATGCCTGAGCAACGTGTTGGCATCATTCGGATTTCCTCCCTATCAGCTTTCGCTTTCTCTGCTGGCGACTATGAACATCATCTTGGCTCTGCCTATTAATCTTGAGCACAAGCGACAGCTCAATACCCCTGCTTGTTCTCCACTCTGGATGGAAAAGGGTGTCGATGGACCCAGAGAAGGCAAAGTGGGGAACAGCAACAAATTCCAGCCTATCTTCTGCTATGAAACGGCAGTGAAGCTTCTCTATTGGTGTGAGTATGTATATGAGTACAATTCGAAGACTGGACAAGCCGCATCTCCCAGGGATCTTGAGACAGGGCTGTCCCTGTATGGGCTTACGTGTTTTGAGTATATGGAAACTGTTGAGATGGATGTCCATGCAATGGTGGCATGGAATGAGGAGGGAACAATACTGTTGTGCTTTCGTGGGACATATAGCAGGGCAAATGTGTTGGCAGACATCCAGCTTTGGAGGACAGTGCATCCACCAAAGCGTGGCCACTTCTGGTTGGGCACCCGTCCACTTGTCCACAAGGGGTTCTTGGAGTCATGGAAAGACGAAGGAATTTATGAGCGAGTGCTTGGCAAGGTAAGGGAGATAATGGACAGCATGGCTGTTGATAGGCTGAAAATATTGGTGAGTGGGCATTCACTCGGTGGTGCCATCGCGGTATTGGCTGCCCACGACATTGCCAGACATTTTCACACTGCTCCTGAGCAGGTATCTTGCTACACTTTTGGTTCTCCAAGGGTGGGTAACAGTGCATTTGCAGCTGAGCACAACAGGGTCGTTCCGGACACCTGGCATATCATAAATGATCTTGACCCTGTCCCCAGGATGGCAAAGTTTGGGGCACTATACGAACGAACGGGCAGGAGAGTGTTGGTCAATGACCATGGGGACATGATTGTGACACCCATGTTTCTGGAGTACAAGTTGGCATCCGCATTTATGGGGAAAAGGAAACTTGTTGACCACAGGCTATCAAGCTACAGAAAATCCCTGCTGGGCATTGCCGCTGCACAATTTCACATGTACAAGGGCTTTCCAGGAGGATATGAAGCTCTGAAAGAGCTGTGGGGCAAAGGTCAAATTGCCAAAGTGCTGTGGGCTGGTGGAAAATCAGTGGACAACCTGGCGGCACTGGCCAGCCAGAAATGGGGCCGGGCGTTGCGCGTCCTTGAAGATGAAGAATGACAAAACGTTGAGGTTTCTTGATGCCGAATAGAGAATGTTTTCAGTGTGTTGCACTCCATTGGCCCTGCCTCCGCATGCTATTTCCTCTACCTTTATGACATAGTCATGCATTCCTAAAAATGGACATTCAGGATAGGGAGTAGTTGTCAACAGAGAAGCAAT